GCTCGGATGAAGAATGGGTATAAGAAGAAAAGTAGTGCGGGATGAATTTACCTTAATATTAAAACTAAAAAATGAGGAAGGGCCGGGTAACATAAGCCCCATTTTGATATCAGAAGAAATAAAAAAAGAAGATTGGGGGATGTAGAAATGGTGAAGATGTTAAGAGATGGAAATTTATTAGTGTCATGTAAAACTGAAGAACAACAAAATTTGCACGTCGAGAACATCTGAAAAAGAATGGTCATGGAAAGAAAGATAATAGGAGAAAACAAAACGGTTTGCTGAGTTATTTACGGTATCCAGTGGATTCAACCAACCTTTATTTAGACGGTAAATCTCATTGAACCTCCAGGACTCGTTTACAAGAGAGACCTGATTTCAACAAAGAAAGATGACAACAATGGACAGTTATAAAAAGACATACAGATTATTATTATTATTTTTTATACAAATAAGATGGCAAAAAAAGTAACAAACAGCTAGGTTATGAGGCGAATGTAGAAAACTAAAAACAGGAACATGTCTGCATTGGTCCCTGCCAGGCGTCCAACAGATTCTTAAAGCCACGTAGAGAGGTCAAAGGTCGAGAGCTTCAGGTCTTTTTGCAAGATATTCCAGGAAACGGGAGCGGAGTAGGAGAAGGCTCTTTTGCCAAGTTCAGTCCTCACTGAGGGAACACTGCAGGTAATGATATCCTGACAGTGCACGCTGTAGCTGCACTCACGCAGAGACATGTAGGAGGAGATGCATGAAGGATGAAGATTTAGATAAAATAAAAAAGAACGTTGTTGGTGCACAAGTAAACAACTTGAAGAGACCGTGGGGACGGGGGGCGTTCAACATGAGGGAAGAGGCAATGCGAGTGCTGCCTTTGGCTTTTTAGCTAGAGAGCCTGTATTTTGCGCCGCTAGCTTAGTGATATGTCAGTGCCGGGTGGGGGTGGGAGGGGCAAGTTCAGTTTGGTCGGCGGGGTGCTCAGTTCTGTTGACGAGGTGGGGCACCCCGCCTGTATAATGGTAGGGGAAACACTGTAAAGTAGTCTAAATTTGGGGAAAAGAAGGAAGAAGAGCATAAGCATTTTAAAATTACTAATTATTTATTAATTAAGATTAATTAATTTAATAATTTAAAATTACTATTATTATTAAGTACTAGTAACATCAGTGAAGAAGGAAGGAAAGGTCAGGAAGCCACAAAACTAAAATACAAAGATTCGCTACAAAATACTGAAAAAACAAATAATTTATTGAATGAACCATTTACAAAAACAGAACTGAAATATGCACTAAGGAAAACAAAGAATACAGCACCTGGTAAAGATAACATTTGGTACACAATAATAGAACATCTCAGCGAAACATCAAAAGATATAATATTAGAATTTTACAATAAAATCTGGGAGGAAGGGGAGCTGCCAGAGAGCTGGAAGGAGGTGATCATAGTTCCAATAGCCAAACCAGGAAAAGACTATACAAAACCAGAAAATTATAGACCTATTGCTTTAACTTCAAACATGTGTAAAATAATGGAAAAAATAAAAGATTAAAAATAGATTAACTTATTATTTAAATATCAAAGGGTATATATCCAAATATCAGAGTGGGTTTAGAAAAGGGAGGAATACTAATGATCCAACAATTTGCTTAGAGCATGAAATCAGAAAAGCACAAATCAACAAAGAAAGTGTAGTCGCTGTATTTTTTGATATAGAGAAGGCATATGATATGATGTGGGTAGAAGGATTATTAATTAAATTATGTTAAATGGGGATTAATGGAAAAATGTTTAACTGGGTTCAAAACTTTTTATCAAACAGAACAATAGAAGTAAGATATGGGCAATAACTATCAAGAAAATTTACAGTAGAAAATGGGATGCCACAAGGAAGCATTTTAAGTCCGTTATTGTTTTCAACAATGATAAATGATATATTTACAGACATTGGTAAGGAAATGGGATGTTCACTGTTTGCGGATGATGAAGCCATATGGAAAAGAGGTAGAAATACTGAATTTGTTGTAAAGAAAATACAAGATATGATAATTAGAATAGAAAAATGGGCATTTCAATGGGGATTTAAGTTCTCAGTAGAAAAACAAAAGTAATGGTGTTTACACAGAAAAGAACAAGAGAGGAAATAAAATTATATAATCAAGAATTAGAACAAGTAAAAAATGTAAAGTTTTTAGGAATATGGTTTGATGAAAAAATATGGAAAATACATATACAGAAAATTACAGATAAATGTAAGAAAATATTAAACATTATGAGACATTTGGCTGGCAGTGACTGGGGAGCAGATAGAGGAGCTTTAAAACAAATATACACCGGATTAATCAGATTATCATTGATTATGGAAGCATCATTTATGGATCAGCAGCAAAAACTCATCTGGAAAAAATAGACACAATACAACATCAGGCGTTAAGAATCTGCACAGGACCATTCAAAACTACACCAACAACAGCACTAGAAGTAGAAATGCCTTTATATCTAAAAAGAACACAACTAGCAATAAATTACTGGATACATTTACAAAGCAATAACTCGGATCATCCAACATGTGATACACTAAACCCATGCTGGGAAAAAGAGAAAACAACAAGAAGTTTGGATGGATCATAAGAAAGAAAACAGAAGCAGTTAAAATACATAGTTTAGAAATAAGTCCATATCTACCACTATCAGTTTTACCACCCTGGATTTAACAGCAACAGTAGACATGACACTAATGGAAAGGAAAAAGGACGGGACATACATCATAGATTCACACACAGTGCTTACTTATGTAAACAATTATTATCAGTACATTCAAATTTATACAGACACATCAAAAACAAATGAAAAAATAGGAATAGCTTTTATAGTACTGGCATTTCAAATAAAAATAGGAAAACGAATCACCAACGACTTGTCAGTATATACAGGAGAGATGTTAGCAGTTTTATTGGCAGTGCAGTGGGTGGAGGAAGTAAAACCATTAAAAACAATAATCTGTTCAGATTCAAGTTCCACATTATTCAGTTTAAAGCACAATCATTCAGACAGCAGGCCAGACATTTTATTAGAAATACTCCACACATTATTCAGAACGCAAAGGATGGGCTTAACAGTAACATTTTTATGGGGACCATCACACATTGGGATGGAAGGAAACAAGATGGCAAAGAAGGCAACTCAAAATCACATTAACTTCACAGTACATACAAGTAAATCAGAGGTAAAAACAAACTGAAAAATGGCAGAAAAGATGGGATGAAGAAAGAAAAGGAAGATGGTTTTATAGGATCAACAAGACAGTAGGAGAAACGAGAAGAGGAAGAAGGAGCAGAAAGGAGGAAAGATTAATAACAAGGTTGAAATTTGGACATACGAGACTTGATTATTCACTATTTCAAATAAAGAAACAATACAGGAAAATGTGAGCACTGGACAGGATGAAACTATACAACATGTGATACTGGAATGTCAGAAATATGAGCAAGAACGAAGATTTATGAGGAGAGAGTTTGAAAAGATAAAAGAAAAGCTCCACATAATAGATGCACTACAACACAATTTAGAGAGCAAACAAATACAAATTATAATGAGATATTTTAAGAAAACAAAGTTGATTAATAGAATTTTGAAATGCATATAGTTCAATCATGCATACACATAGAAATATCCCATGATGAACCACACTCCAGATACCAGTGGTGGCGGTAATGCACACCTAGTTTTTTGCCAACCACTTTTAAACCCATCAAGAAGAAGAAGAACAAAAACGGAGTGGCATCAAATTTTAGCGATTTTAGGATTTCTGTTTTGTCATTTTTCGACCATAGACTCAGCATGAGTGGAAGATGAGGCAGAAGACCATGGAGAATGTTGTTTTTCAGCTGACAGCTCCATATGAGGTAAGAGAAATGTGTGTTTGTTTGCCCTGCGTTGTAGTCCACTTCCTGTTTGCAGAGCGGTGTCCGGTCTTGTTGCATTCACATTGTTCTCGAGCCGCTCTAGAGTTTTCTTCTACCGGACAGAGACGTAGGTTTTTAGGCGGGCCAGAGTTCGCCTTTTTGTTCCATGACAGAGTTCGATGGCGCGTTCACACCTCTCCAAATGAACCGGACTTCCTAGGCAATATCTTCTATATATATTCTATTCTATATTCTATATATATATCTTAGATCCTTATTTACCGTTTCTTTTTATACTTTATATTTTGCTGTTTTTGGGTGTAAATGGGACATATAATTTCATTCAACCTCATGTACCACATGTGACGTAAATGCCAATAATTGGACTCGAACTAGACCCGTTTCGGACTTTAACTGTTTGTATATATTCTCTGTTATTTTATGTTGTGTATGTTCCTTTGTACTGAAACTCTGACACAACAGTTTCCTGCGGGATCAACAAAGTCCCATCTTATCTTACCAATCAGCCGAACATTCATTCAACCTTTATTTATACAGATTAATCCCATTGAGCCTCTGGGACTCATTTACAAGAGAGACCTGGATTTAACAGAGTGATGACGACATATCCTGATGCATGCTCAATAATCAAAGAGTGATGACAACAGTTGACAACAAACAAAGACAACTGAGAACAAGTGAAAATAAAATGGTTTTAAAAAATGCATGTTTTTGGTCTGTGGGAGGAACGCAGATTGTCCAGAGAAAACCCACACATGCACAGAGCGAACAGGCTAACTCCACCCAGAGGGGGCTCCGGCTGGGATTTGAACCAGCGATCTTCTTGCTGGGAGGCAACTGCTCCACCTTGCCACTCCAGAAAAAAAAAAAAATCATTTTTGTGTGGTCAATCAGGCCAAAAGCACACCTGTCTTGGTCTTACTACACATTTTCCAACTTAATCTGCTGTAATTTTGTATCCGATTCGTAGTCTCGTAACAAATTACAGCCCCAACCCGGTTTGTGAACCACTATTTGCGTCGCCATATAAGTAGAGGGCCGTGAAGCTGTAAAATCGGAGTTTCGCGGTGTTCCCTGAAGGCGTCAGCTGCTGGGACGTTCAGGGCCCTCCTCCTCCCAGTCCCCGGGGCTGCGCCGCCGCCCAGGCCGCCTGCTGCCCGCTGGCTCCGGGATGACGCCACCTCTCGCTCCGCCCCGGCGCAAACTCGCTCCGTGCGTTCATTTCATTCCTGCTCTCATTCCGAGCATTCTTCGCATCTCTGTCAGTGCGCGAAGCGATTCACCTCCACCTTCCTGGCTGGCCCAGAAACACCCGAATAACTTGAACGTAGTAGTCAAAGCCCCCCAGTAACATCACAGTATCAAAAGAAAGGGACATTTGTATGAGATGTGTCAATAACGAGGTAAGTTTCAGAGGTAGTTGCAGGCACGCAAACTGCGCGTAGACTTGTGCTCACGGAGGTTTAGTGGCGCTCTTGAGGAAATGCTGCCCAGTGTTTTCACTGGTTTATTTCGTGCGGTTTGCTGGTTTGTGCCTCGGTGGGAGTGGATGGCGGCTCCTGCAGCTCGCGGCTCTGACACGGCAGCAGACAAATCTTTGACATTTTTCACATTTTTTTTGTAAAGAAAGCCCGGTCGTACGCCCCCACCATAAAAGCCTCAGATGGCCCGAGTCAGGCTGCAGGGGGGGAACTCGGACTTGGGATTTCGAATGAACTGAAACATCAGAACGATTAGTTGTTTTTGGACACGATGACGGCTGAACGCTGCTCTTTTCCTCTGTGCTCAGCTCAGCGGGAGTTGCTGGTTCCAGGACCGCCGCGGAGGAAGCCAACCCGGCGGGACTTGTTGCTTCAGCTGCTTCAAGCCGCCGTTCCAAGTTTCTTGTAAGTATTTATAAATATATATATATATATTTACGGATTTTCTCTGTGCAGCCCGTGCGCAACTCTCGTTTTACTGTGACGCTTCTTTTTCCAATTTACGCACAGAATCTGCGCAGCCTTAACTTTGACTTGTTTAAAACAGTATTAAAGGAGACTATTGTGATACTTTCTGTTTACTGTTGATGAGGAAACCAAATCTTTGTTTTTAATCTGAATGCAGCCACGAAGAAACTTGTGAACTTATTAAAAGCTCAAATAAGTTTTAGCTTTGATTTAGAGTTTCCTTCAATCTAGTTTTGTGCCAGCTCAGCTAAAACTCCCCCCCACAGACCAACAGACACATGTTGGAGGAAACTTCAGCAAAATTAAGAGTTCCCTTCATTGGTAACAGAAAGTAAATTATATACCATGCTGCTGTTAAAGTTTACTCCCTTATGTAGCTGACTTGGGCTGGTTTCCCTTTTGTTTCAATGTTATTTGCAAAGTTAGACAGGAACAGCCAAAGGACACGTAAAAAAAGTTAATGCATCAGACAAGCATAGGCATAAACAGTAACACACCTTCACAACTCGCTAATGAATACTGTACTTCCAAAAATCCTCAAAAGGACCTTAAAAGAATATAAGAACAAATTCAAATCAAACTTTTTGAGGCTTGTGTCTCTAGTTTGTGCTTTTGGATAGTCACACTGTTCCAAGCCTTATTTAAAAGCTGACACTATAGTCAATATTGCATACCTCTTAAATCAGTGTTGTACACTGCAGTTCACTGCTGTGCACCAGAGAAGTCTCACGTTCATGAAACATTTGACTGTAAGTCCATGAGGACGTGTATTGTTGGGTAAACTATATTCTCCAGTGTGCTTGTGAAAGCAAACCAGAACTGACTATTTAAAACCACCCAACAGGTAACCAGGCCATAGTTGACAGCTCTGATTTAATCAAGTTGTTTTAATAGATTATTGGTTTGGCTGTTAACCGTAATATAAATCTTTAGGCACCTCTTTTTTTCAGCTCTCCCAACTGTGCTTTTATAAATTTAATTAGCTTAAACATATACAATAGTTATAAATTAGTGACAAATAAAGTAAAGCATGTAATATTTATTTTATAATCCCACTTTTTTTTCTTCTTTTCAGTGTAAATGTAGCTGGCTACTGAAAATGAGCTACTAATGTGCACTTTCAAACACGCTCTTTCTTATTATGAATGAGAATAATACCTAAGGTAATGTTGCATCACACACATTTTATTTGAATGAATGCATTAAAACAACTGTTGCGTTAATTTATAAGAAAACAGCTTGACTGCAGTCAGGTGTAACCCCAAGCATGTCGCAGCATATAATGGGTTCATGAGAAGGAATAATAAAAAAATGTTTTGTTTAGTTTTTTTTCTCCTCGTTATGCAACCGTTGGATCGGTTTGGACAGAAGCCTAAAAAACATTTGCACAAGAATAGCTTGTTGTGTCTGCTTTGACTGAGACTTTGCCACTGAAATTTGTTTTCTCAGCTTTAGTGCACATTAAGCATTATCTGCAGAGCGTCGAGAGTCGGACACAAACAGGACCACAGCTTTTTGCGTACATTAAGATTGGACCTCCTTTTTAGGTAATCCTGAGCAAAAGTGAACTTTCAAACAGTACTACAAAGATTGCAACATTGTCTGAAGAAGCAGATTCTGATAAATGTCTGGATGAGAAAGGCTTGTGCTTGTAGATATATTGGCTCATTGTTCAGGTCGTCTTCCTTTCTGCTGCCTTGTACAGGTCAGAGAGGGCAGGACTGCAGAGAGTGTAGTCTATCTGTGCTGAAGTGTGGACAGAATAATGTGCTTTTGTGAAGCGCAGAGTGGATTGTGTTACTTGGAGCCAAGTGAGACTCGTCTTTTCTCCTGTTAACCTTTAGAGAACGGCATTCTGGTCAGACATTTGTCTGATGTCCTTATTCAGTTTGTGCTTTATAGGAAGTATCTTGTAAACCAGTCATCATCTGTCAGCGTTGGGGGGAGTTAGTGAGCTTGGCATCGTTTGCAGGCTGCACATCTCCGTCTCATTCAGCAAACCCTTTTGCGAACAATAATGACAGAACGTGACCATAATGACTTAAGACAACTGGAATATACTGAATAGATGCCTACAGTTATCTGGACTAATCGGGACACAAAGACCCATCAACAAAGAAGAAACAAGTTCAGCCGTTGACTGCTCGTTATAATTAACATTTCAGAGTTTCAGATTGATCCAATAAATACATTTAAAGTAATAAAGAAAGCCGTTCTTATTTGACTTTTAGACAAATCAGTTCCATAAAGATGTGGTTTTATTTTTCTAGCATTTCATTTACAAATAACCTTGTAATTCTACAAATATTGCATTCGTGTATACCGTCATTTCCGGACCATTGAGTGCACTTGGATATAAGCCACGCCCACTAAATTGAAAACAAAGAAACAAATTTTTTTTTTTGCACATATATAGACCGCATTTGTCTAAGCTGTGGGTGTCCACGTCTGTAACATGAGATATTTGCACAGAAAGATTGTTTTAAACTTGATTAAATACTGTAGCGTGGCAGCACACGGCTACTGAGAGAGATGTGCATCTTGTTGTAGATCAAGAACCAACCACCAGATGGCGTCTTATAGACTTTATCTTATTGTTCAACACTCACAGACAGAGTGAAGCCCACAGGTCGTCATGACAACCACCTCCTTCACTCATGGTTACTGAATGTCCTAACACAAACTAACACATATTGAACACATGAACTAGGCTGACAAGAACAGACTAATCTCTAAAAAAATAAGAAGCTAAACAGCTAACCAAAATGATTAACAATGAACGTAAATTTTACCCATAATCCCTCTCTGAGGCCATGTGACCGACGGTCAACCCCACATTACGTGCCGTTAACATACTCAAATATGTACAGTTTATTAATTTTGTTCTGAACAGTTCCTGTAATACGGCTGGTTAAAAAAAACTACAATCGCCTACCAGGAAGTCATTGATAACTCTCTCTGTCTTCCTTCCTTCTTTCACTGCGCCCCCCTCCCTGGGGGCACAACAGGGAGGGGAGGAGAGAACAGGGAACCCTCCCCAGTGGACCAGTGAAACTTGACCTGAATGACCTGTTCGGTAATTTCAATGGTCAGATTTTTTAAAATCTTTTATTTATACAGGTAGTCTCACTGAGTCACGAGGACCCACCCCCCAAGAGACACGTGTATTGGGCAGCTACGCGAGCGCTCGGGTGTGACAGAGATAAATTTTTTTGCGGCAGGAAGCTCGATAACCCATAAAAAAAAAAAAGAAACATCCATTAATTGGCTGCAGCATTGTTGAAGCCGCGGTGTTTAAAGCTTGGTAAAAAAAAGTAGCAGCTTATAGACTGGAAATTACAGTACATATATTTTTATTTTTTTATTTTATCCAAACATAAGTACAGCCATCTATTTGGACTTGGGGATTTTTTTCTCATTTAGTATAGATTTTTAACAAATCCTGTAGAACTTCTATTTCTTCCTTTTTTTTTTTTTTACACACTGTCTTAATGTTTTAATCAAGTATATGAATTTTTCATACCACATTTGTCACTGTTAATTAAAGGTGCTCACTACAAACTACGTTCTATTCATCGTTCTGAACAAGTTATATTGAACTAAATCAAATGATGCAGTTTGAAAGTTTCCTCCAGTAGTTTTCCAGATACGTACATTTTTGCACAATTCTAAAACGCAGGTTTGCACGTAATGTTAAAAACAACAACAACAACAACACATAAAACCACCTTTTTCTGCATACTTTACTCAACAAATCTGAACATAAAAATGTACCAAGACATACAAATTATCAGACTTTTTAAATGACTCGTCCAGGAACATCATGATTGTTGACCTATTTCCAGTCTGTCTGTTGGTAAAAAAAAAACACATTTTGCGTACACATTCAGAAAGGACACATTAACCATCCATATGGAAAAAGTGCAGATTTTGTTTCTTAATAATTTTTTTACTGGTCTTATGATATTGCAATAAGAACTCTTAACAAATTTGGTAGTGTTATGTTTAAAAAACAATCAAAACATGGGCTTTATTTGTTGCCAAGGCTCGTCTTAATCCTCGTTAAAAAAATAAATAAATTGCACTACAGTACAATGAAAGTTATTGGCTTAAAAAAACCTGATGTCTATAATTGGATTGTGATACGGAGTCATTAGTTGTGCTCTTGGATGTTTTTTGTACCAGAGGCTGAATCACATCAAAACATTAGTTTTCCACAGTCGAACCAAAGGAGGGAGTCTGCTGCAGGTTTGCTTGCTGTGTTTGCCCCGAGGTAAACCCTGGTCTAGAAAGGGAATTTTTTAGAGTGTGCACTGCTGCTCAGCAGTTTGAGAAAGTCCCACTGAGGCCAACACAAACACAGAGAGCCAC